GCTCTGGGCTTTGCCAGCGCGAAAGGGCAAGATAAGGAAAGGAACACGCAGAGAGGGGAAAGATCCTCAATCCTGCTTTCTTTGCAGACATGGTTCTCTCTGTAGAAAACCCCATGAGACCTCCAAAAAAAGCTCTTGAAACTAATAAATGAGTTTAGCAAGGCTGCAGAATATAGGCTCAAATACTCAACTGTGTTCCTAGATACCTGCAATAAACGACAAAAGTTTTTAGATTTAAGTACCAAGTACAATGCCACAAAAAAAAAAATTGGAATTCTTGAGGGTCAACCTAAACCACACACCAGCACTGGGATGCGGGGAGCCACCCCCAGGGCAGAGAGAGAACAAAGGGGCCCCGGTAAATGAAGGGACGCGCGCCTCCCCTCCCTCGACGGAGACGCCCGCTGCCAGGCGCTGCTGCCCCCCACGCGGGCAGCCAGCTCAGGGCCACCCAACCAAAGCCCCGGCAGGAGCATGTGCAGGCGCCAACAAAGGGAGAGGACCGGACAGGACCACCGAACGATTCTGCAAACAACAGAGCCGAAGAGCTCGCTCGCACGCACGCTCTGACTTCGAGACTCGCTGCGCAGCCTCACCGGTCAGGCCCGCATGGCGCCAGCACCGGGGCGGACGCAGCTGAGTGGGAGAGCGGGGTCGAGCAAGGGGCCCACCCAGGCGGAACCGCCCGATCCCTGGCGCACAGCTCGCACACAGCCAGCTCGGCGGGCCTCACACAGTCTTCTTCAGAAACGGTGTGGGGTCAACCAGATGTCGACACGCAAAGACATGAACTCGTGCCCACCACGCCATAGAAAACGGCACTCTCAACGAACGCATCACCGACCAAAACGGAAAACACGAACCACACCACTTCCTAAAGAAAACACAGGAGAAAACTTCTGTGACCTTGGGCTGAACAAAGTTGTCAAATATGATGTCAAAAGCTTGATCCATAAAGGAAAAATTTTTTGAAAAAAAACAGACACAAAATTTGAATAGCATGAAAGATAAAGAACAAAACAATTGCAAATTTGTATCTGACCAAAAACACATACAGACCATTCTGCCGCAATAAAACAAATGACACAATGGAAAAGATGGGTGAGAGAGGGGAACAGCATCCCCAAAGAAGACACGCAGGCGGCCAGCAAGCACGTGTGGCCCTGCCCGCCGCCACTGGCCTGCGGAGCCGCGGCATCAGACCCCGATGGCCACGGCAGGGTGACACCGGAGAGCTGGCCAGAGCGCAGGGAGGGCGAGGAGCCGCACAGCCACCGCGGAAAGCGGGGGCGGCTTCCCGAGGAGCTGGGCACACACTTAACTGAACCGCCCAGCAAGCTGTCCCCTGGGTTTTTACCCAAATGAAATAAAGGCCTTTGTTCATGTGAGCAACTCCACGTGGACATTCACTGCAACTTCATCCCTAAGTGGCGAAAGCTGGAAGCAATCCAGCTGGCCCCCCGAGGTGCCCAGACACGCGGAGCCCCACTCCGCGAGGCAGACCAGGCTGCGGGCAAGCGCAGCGCCGCGGCGCCTCTGCAGCGCTGGCGCCCACGGCAGGCGGCCGGGGTGAACGGCAGTGGCTGAAGGGCCCTGTCGACACCTCGTCCTGGAAAAGGCAGAACCACAGAGGGGCAGACGGAGGTTGCAGGCAGGCAAGGCCTGGCCACAAGGAGGCCGGGGGGTGGGGGGAGCTCCGGGGGCCAGCGGAACCGTCAAAACTCACGGAATGACAGACCAAAAAGAGTACATTCTATGGAGTTAAATAAGTGCAAGAGAACAAATGAATGAATACTGTTAGTGACGTGTCATAACCCACTAGTGAAAGACTCCACATGTAAGTATGTAAGTTGAGAAGCAAGCCTGTCATTACAGTAAAACGCCAACCAACAAATGTGAGAGGAATAATGGAGTTAGAAAATCCATTTTGTACCCTCTAAGGTGAATAACAGTCTAGCGAGGCTCATCAATAGATGCTAAAATTAGTGGTCAAAAGTTTAGTAGATACTAGATGTCTATACATGGTCTCAAAGTATCTTCTCCAAATTACTTATCGTTCACCCAAAGGAAAACAAGGAGCTTCCACTGGAGGAGCCTCGCAGCCCCGTAAGAGGACGAGTTGGCGTCATGGCTTCCGCTACGGCGCCACGCTGGGCAGAGCGTCCCTTCCGCGATGTCCCTCTCCAAACGCAGGGCCCACGTCAGACACCAGGAAACATCCAACAAGCTCACGTCAAAGGACGTGCTGTAAGGAACTGGCCTGGACGCCCCCGAAGTGGGAAGGAGGGCCCTGAAGGCGGAGGGGCCGGCCCAGATGAAAGAGGGCCAGAGGCCCACGACCGCAGGAGAGATTACAGAGGGCCCGTCCGGGCAGGCGGCAGAGGGCCGGCTGCATCGCCGCCCACTCTCCTGGTCTGAGCGCCGTGCACTGGGGAGGCCAGGGAAGCGCTGGCCTGGGACGTGCTCACGTGTTTAGGGGTGAAAGGGCGTGACTGGACGTCTGCAACTTCGTCTCGGGCGGCTCGGGGGGAAAGATGTGGGCGCACACATGAGAGAGAGAATGAAAGTGATGCAAATGGGGCAAAAAGTTAGCCATTGGCAAATTTGGGAAAGGGACATAAGGGGACCTCTTTGTGCTATTACGGCAACTTTCACATAAGTTTGGAATTTTATCAAAATTAAAAATAAAAGTAGTATTACAATAACCATGTATGGTGTACCAGGTGAGTACCAGACTTATCGGGCTGATCCCTTTGTAAGTTACAGAACTGTCTAATAGCTTTGTTATGCACCTGAAACTAATATAATGTGTCAACTATAATTGAAAAGTTAAAAATTTATTTTTTTAAAAATTAAAAATATAAAATTGTTAAACACTATCACCACCAGATGAACCTGCTCTCAGACCCAGCACAGTCTAGTCAAAGCTACAGGAACTGGACCTATACTTTTAGGTCCTGGGCCCTATTAATGGAGCACTGGGCGATTTAATTTCCAAAACCTTAACAACGCTCCGTTTGCATTCACGAACACCCCACAGGAGCCTGAGGCCCTGACGACCTCAGAGGCCTCAGTGCCCCTTGCAGCTACGGGGAACGTGGAGTTACCGTCTGCCTGAAGCCTTCTTCTCCTGCTTCTGTTCTGAACTGTTCTCAGAAACACAGAGAGGAGACACAGAGAGAACCCACACGGAACACAGCACAGGCGGCGCCCGGGCGCACAGGGGACGGGGCCACGAGGCTCAGAGGACATGCACACTACAGCTATGACGGCAGCACAGGTCAACACAAGACAGCGCGTTGCTCTGGGCCGCCGTTCACTCATGCAACCTAACCTCATAGGTCCGTAGGCAGGACGAGGTCTTTTTAAAAATCAGGAATGGGCTCCGGAAAAAATGCTGAGAGCAAATAGTAACTGAAGGATAAAATACCTGGATGAAGGGAAAGCTTGGGATGAGGCTACATTTGAGAACCATTGACAAGTACCTGAAATGGTTGCTGCTGGGATGAAAAAGCAGCAGAAACATTTGGCGGAAGCTGGGTTGCTATAGCAACGGGAGTACCAGTCTGCCCATCCTTTCCTGTCACAACCTTTACCTGAGAGGAAATATTTTGAGAAAAAAAGGCAACATGATTTTTAAGACTGCTCAAAATTTTGTTAGAATTTTACTGCTGACAGCTCACTGATGCTTGGTGTTTAAAAATGGAATGTTTTTGCATCAACTCCTGCAAAGAGACAATAGACTCATTTATGGCAGATCTGTATCCTAACAAACTGACTACCTGCAAACCGTGGGGGCTCTAATTAAGGTGACAGGGGCCACGCCCTCAGGTTGCACGGCTTGCACTGGGCGGGGGGGGGGGGGGGCTGGCCTCTTGGTGACAAGGCCGCCCCCCCAGGCAGTCTGCACAGCGCCTCTCCCTCGTCTGCACCGCGAGGCCAGCGTGGAGGGCGTCTATTTCAGTAGGAAGTTACAAAAAGGGACTGACTTGTCTTCATGAGCACAGACAAGGGGACTGAGCCTACAGACAACACCAGGGCACAAACATAAAAAGAACCAAATTTCACTATTTCGAGGTGAAATCCTCAAAATAATCATGTGACCTTTTGGAAAATAAAAATGGTCCATCCTGGAAAGGGTGTTAAAAAAAAACAAAAACACAAAATGGCAAAGCCACACAGATACGTCCATAAATATCAATGAAGACGGCTGAGCAAAGAAACCAGTTTTTGTTCACCAAAGGCCGATTTCTTTGCAGGAGAAGAGTGACAAAGATATCGCTTATTTCAGCCATCTCCTAAAACAAAATCAGCTGCACCGACACAGTGCACACTACAGGACACAGAGGCACACGCACAGGGCACGACAGCCCACGTCTCTCTCGCCCCGCCGGGGTCGGCGTCTTGTCGGGATGTGCACAGAGTGGGCGGTGATCACAATTGTATCGAGAAATCTCAATTCAGGCATTTTTTAAGCACCCCAAAATTTCACTACTTAAAAAAGATCCCATCTTAAATACCACTCATAGGTATTTGTAAAAGTGTGTGCTTAAAATAGGACCTCAAATATATGACTACATCTAAAAATTGTTTTTTGCCACTAACTGTATTTTAATTATGAAGACACCATATCAACGTTTATGTTGACATATTTAAACCCCTTGTTTAAAACCCACGTTCGTGGAGCTGCAACGGGTAGGCCTCCCTCAGTAAAACATGCAAACTGGGGAACCAGGCCAATGGCATGCGCCCCCCGCAGGCCGGGGCAGGCGGCAGCCCGCGGCCGCCTCTCCATCGGGGCGGAGCCCTTGCCCTCCAGGAAGGCGCCCGGGCTGGCACTGGCCCCCACGGCTGCAGCAGTCCCCTCCCCCCCGGGAGAAAGCAGCAAACCCACCTTCCCGGGCGTGAGGGGCACTCGGGCCCGCCGGCCCGCCTGGCTCCCAGCGCCCAGGCTCGCCCTGCGCGCGCGGCCCTCCGAGCATCACACTGCTGCTTCTCACCTCATCGTTGATCACCTCAGACTTTTCCTCCTCTTCCTCCTCCTCCTCCTCCTCCTCCTCCAGGTCCAGGTCGTTCTGCCTCAGGTAAGCTTGCAATGGCGCGTAGTGCTTCTTCTTGAAAGCCAGGAAATCCATCATGTTCCCTTGCAGGTGTTGCAGGAAGAAGAGCTCGATCAGGCACTCCCTGAAGGCCTCCCGCAGCGCCTCCATCTCCCGGCGGTGAGAGTCCAGGCACTGCTTCCGCATCTGGGCCAGCTCCGGGGAGGCTGGCGGGATCTCCTCCAGCTTCTTGGGCGCCTTCCTGCTCCCCGTGCACGAGAGGGGCAGGCTGGAGAGGCCAGGGGGCACCACAGTCCGGGAGGGGCTGCTGGGGGGCGGCGGGGACGCCATCCCGAAGGCTGCGGCGCCCCCCACCCCGACCCCGGGCAGCAGAGGTCGGGTCAGCGGCGGCCCCTGCAGCCCCTGCTGCTGCTGCTGGACCAGCTGCCCCTGGATGATGCTGCTGATCTGGGGCGGCAGGTTGGCCGTGGTGATGTGGCTGGGGCTGGCCAGGGGCGGCAAGCCGGCCCCGCCCGAGGCGGCGGGGCTCTGGGGTCCCAGGTGATGCACGGTCCCGCCGGGCTGAGCGTGGGGCTGGGACAGCCTCCGTTCCCGCGCTGTGAGGGGAGGCCCCGAGTGCTGCAGCGACACGGGCGCCCCCTGGGCCACCTGGGCCAGGCCCGGGCCCTCCTGGAACACGAAGTGCCCACCCGCGGACGGGCTCAAGCTGATCTGCCTCACCAGGACGCTGGCGTCCACGAAGCCCCCGGTCGGGCTGCTGCTGCAGAGGCCCAGGCCGGGCCCGGGGGTGCCCGCCCGAACGCTCTGCAGGCCCGGCCCCGGCCCGGGGCTGGGCTGCGTGGGGCTCTGGGTCTGCACCTGCTGGGACAGCGGCGAGGTGACCTGGATGTAGGATGGCGATCCGTGCTCAAAGCGCCTGGGCTGGGCGCTAAACTGGAAGCCCGGAGAGGTGGGGCTGGGGAGCGGCAGCGGGGCCAGTGTGAGCGGGGGGTTCCCTGCCACCACTGGCCCCACATTCTGCAGGGTGAGGTTCACGTTCGGCCCGGCCGCGGGGCTCCTGCTCATGAGCTGCTGAACCTGGTACCCGGGGGACTGAGGTGCCGACGGGCTGGCCGAGGGCGCGAAGGGTGCGGCAGGGGACGGGGGTGGGTTTGGGTGGGCCTGCTGCTCTTCTTCGCTGCCGGCGAAGGCCCGCGACCTCTGCAGCTGGTGCTGGACATTCGGAGGGCCGCTGCCGTGGTGCATTATCGCCCCCCTTTTTTATCCAACTTAATGTTCTCCTGAAAAATCAAAGTTAAAACCAAGTTACTTAAAGGCAAACACAACCACCTGATCACCCCTTCGTATGAGCACCGCTCGGCAGCACTGGGGCAGCGTGGCGGTCTGCCCCCCAGCAGCTGGTGCGAAGGACAGCCTCCTTAATCCATGGCCTGCTGCGGGCACGGCACCGCAGGGGTCTCCTTCAGCACAGGGCGGGGCGGGGCCCCTGGGCTCTGCTGTGCCCAGGGCCAGAGGCGGGGGAGGCGGACCAGCACCTGGAAGGTAACAAGCATCATGGCTCAAGGCCAAGCAGGGCGTGACCTCGGCCTGGCACTCGTGACCGCTGTGTGTCTTCCGGATGCTTCCCCGGCGCAGAGGCCCTCCTGTGCTCCCGCACGCAGGTGGCTGTCGCCTGCCACCCCGTGCGCAGGGACGGGTGAGACGCACGACCCCCCTCACCAGAACTGCCGCCACGCCCTCGCCAGACAGTCCCCGTGGACGCCTGAGCCGCTTCACGGCCACGCTGTTAACCGAGTGCAGACACAGGGCTGGGGAGGCCACACCCGATGCCCCTCAGGAGGGCCCGGCCTGTCTTAGGAGCAGGGGAGGGGGCCGCCAACGAGGGAAATCTCCCGAGGGAAGGAAGTGGCCAGAGAGGCCACCGTGTCCTGGAACTCTGGGAACCCGCGAGCTGCGGCCAAGGGGCGCTCGGCCCCGACCTGCTCAGCGCAAAGGTCCAGAGAAGGCGGGAGGGGCGGCAGGGACCACCAAGGCAGCTCAGCCTTCAGGACAGGAGACGGGAGAGGACGGGGCAGCGGGAGGCCGACTCACAGCTGCAGAGGGACCATGGTCCCAGGTTAGATGTGGCCGGGGCCTAGGTGTCCACTGGAAAACAGGACAACCACAGCCCTTCAGGCCATCTGTCCCCCTGTGCTGGGTCACGGGTCCAAAAATGTCCCCTCACCATTTAAAATCCTCAGTGTCAGTGGACACACTAGCTTCCTACCTATGGTGCTGCTAAACCACCTCCCCTGAAGCAGAAACGCCACCTTCTGTTCAAGGCACCGCTGCTTCTCAGAGACAATGCACAAGCGGGAAAATCCTCCACCAGGAGTCACAAACTTAGAAAGGTGACAGACGCATGTATGAGAGTGATCTCACAGTCACGAGTGATCCCGGCGACACACAGGTACATGCGGATGGCCCCACAGTCCTGGGTCCCTGGTGCAATAAACATCTGCATGAAGTCAAAAGCTACGGATGATGGTCACACAAGTAAAGGCTGAGAACATGTAAAACTGGGCGTGTACCGTACGCCGCAGACAAGGCAGTTTTGCTCTGACGGCTGTCTCTGAAGACAGTCTCAAGATCGTGGGCAAGCGGCAGCAAACGTGTCGAAAGCCAAGACCACAGCAAGGAACCGCCTCAGCACCATCGGGCGCCCACGGCCGCCACTGCCCTCCGAGCCGAGGGCCCGGGCACTGGGACGCACTTGGGTGGGCACGGTGTGTGGGCGCTGTCAGCTACAACCCTGCTTTCAGTACACGCTCTCGGTCCCGACTTTTCCAGCCAGGGCTCCGGGGGAGAACAGTGGGGGAGTGGGACACAACAGCAGCCTAACACGCAGCAACGTTTAGGGCTGGCCCTTACAGTGCGTCGCCCCCAGGGTATCAAAAGCAGAGGAAACTCTCGCAGGTAGGAATTCGGGGGCAGGGTAAGAACTTCGTGGGAAACATGTTACGACAACTGACTGACACACTGAGAAACTTCTAAGTTCTTCCCACAAATCGCTCACCAAACAAATGGCATTTGTTTAAGCTAAATTTCAAGTTTTATACTAAACGTAAAGAAACCAAAACAGAAAAATATAAAGAACACAAAAAAACACTTACTAAAGCTCTGACGGGAACTCCACGTCCTAAACTTAGTAGCTCTATGGCTACACAGCCCTGCACGTGTCTAAAAACTTAAAGTTGTATCCAAAAAGAAGGAATTGAAGACACATAATTTAAAAATGTTTAAAACTCAAAGTTATCAATATCAAAACCCAAGGAAGAAAACTTGAAGGGACTGTAACAGAGAGCTCTTACCAGGAGTGTGAAAAGCATGCACAGAAATTGACAGAAAAGTGAATTAAGAGCAAAAGACAAAAACACCTCCTTGACCAGCTCAGAGGAAAGCGCCCAAGCTCACCGTGCGTAACAGCCGTGCAGACTGAAGTAACTGTCTCCTGGACCCGCACCACCGCACGAGACCCCGCTACGCCGCCAGCCGGGGCCCAGGGCCTGCCGCGCGCCCCACAGGGCGGCTCCTTGGCCGTCGACTCAGGAACCCTACCTGTGGAAATCTCTCCTAAAGACATTCACCTGCCTATTTTTTTTTTAAACTATGTGTAGGAATAGTCACTGGAGAACAATACAGCAAAAGTAACGAGTGTAACCAGACACACCCAAAGTCCGGGATCTCGACGGAGCTCCGGGGTGAAGAGGGGAGACACTTCAGACGGGTCAGTAAGTACAAGGAGCAGGACACCAACCGCACCACACAGCCGCTGCTCTGCTGAAATCGTCACCTCAAACCATCCACGGGGACGGCCACACACGGGGCACGCGATCGACACGTCCACACGAGGAGGCCCCCACAAGGCCGCAGTGCAGAGCCGGGCTCCAGTGCGGCGCCACGGGCCGCTGACACGACATTCTGGAACACACGCAGCCCTGGGCCGGAGACCGGACGGAGCCCGTGGGCCGCGGGCAGGGGCGCTGACCTGAGAGGCAGGAGGGAACCTGGGGGAGGAACCGCTTCCAGATCTGATCTGGGATGCGGGTCACAAGACTGTGATCGTCCAAATTCCCAGAACCACACACAAGAGCGTGACCTCCGCTCCACGGGCATCGCTCCTCCCCTCGCTACGGAAGAGCTTCCTGCCCTGCGCGGGCTGTAGTCAAGTTAGGGAAGCGCCGCTGCTCCGCGGAGCGCGTTTCCCAGACACAGGGCCTCCCCCGCGGGGGCAGCCCCGCCTCCAGGTCCATCAGAAAACGCCAGACCGGAGCCACCGAGGGCGGCCCTGTCCAGGAGGAGGCCGAGGGCAGGGCGCTGAGTGACGGTCCCCACTGCCCTGGATGGCACGAACCCGGCTCAGCCCCTGCGCCTGCTCTGAGGGCAACGTCAGCAAAGGGCGCCCACGTCTGGGTGCTGGGAAAACCACGCTCAGAAAGCAGCACCTCCGGGGCTCTGCGCCCAGTCAGGACCACGAGTGGGGTCGGAGGCGCCGGGGCCTTGCCGAGGCTCCTCCCGCCGCCCTGCCCTCTCTGCCCCGGCTTCTCCCTTTCCTGCCCTTCACCAAGCAGGGAGCTCAGCTCTATCCCAAAGCAGCTCCCGCTTCCCTCCCTGCGCCCACTCGTCCCCCCAAAGATCTGGCCTCTGGTGGGTCTTAGGTGCTTTGGGCGGTCAGCTCCGCCGATAACGACCGCCAGGCTGGATGGAGAGTGAGAGGCCAAGGGAGGCGCAAGGGCTTGGCTAACGCGCACGCACACTCAGGGCAGCGGGGCGCACGGCCGCGACGGGAGTGGATGAGGACCGAGGGTGCCTCGGGTGCCCGGTGAGTCTTCAAGGGGAAATCGCAGGAGACAATTTGGCAGGAAGTGTATCTCTCAAGCCTCACAGCACATTCACCTGTTCTGACCAGCGACCTGACTCTCTGAAATGCTACACCAAGGAAGGTGGCGTGTCCCACAACAAACATCAATGGTCTGATACATCTATGCAAAAAAATGTAATACTTAACGTGTGATACAGTCCATTTTGCCTTTCCTGCTGCCTGTCTGTGCTTTCCAAATCTGTCCTTAATTGGCGAGTGCCATAGCGTAGTGCTGGTCACCAAACACTCCTGGTTCCCCTGCCAGAAGCCGCGCAGGCGGGCATTTCCCTGCCCTGCAGACGCCACGCGCGCACAGCTTGCCTTGGCGACGAGGTGCCACGCGGACTCTCTCCTGGTCTGGTAGCACAGTAAGTTCTCACTGAACACTGTCGATCACTTCTGTCACTGGAAGCCAAACGACACAGAACGAAAGCAACTTTGCCGTAGGCTGGCTGACGTTCACATGAGCGAAGTCCTTACGGTGTCTCGCCAACCTTTAAGGAAGGCGCGCTGTTGGGAGGCTCCGCTGTAGAGGCAGCGCAGGGGTGAGGCCCGGGTGAGCACGGCAGCAAGCCAGCTGCAGGGGCCTCCCGGTGGGCACAGCGCCCTCTTGCTGGAAGCCACTGCCACAGCGCCTGGGGCGCACCTGTTCCCTGGGACGGACCTGGCTGACAGGCAGATGAGGAAAACGATTCGTCCCAGAGACCCCACAGCCTCCACTCCAGCCCAGCCCACAAGCCCCACAGTTCTGTCCCTGAGAAACAAGAGCCCTGCCTACACCTCTGTCCTGGCCTCGCCACCGCTGCTCACCCAGGGGGCCTTGCGAGTGGGCGGTGGGGTCGGACTCACCACAGTCAGCAGATCAGAGAGGAAAATGCCTCCCAAGGAGGCCGCTTTGAGTTTCTGACTACTGTGGAGATTTTTAACATAAAGTTGTTTACAAGCATTACTAAATTCGTAATAGCTTTCTGTGATGCTAGAGAGTTAAAATCAAAATTTTATTAGCTCAGTCCATTTAGAAAAATAAAAGTCAGATCCGCTCCCTGAACCTCACCCACCCCATTCACAAAAAAGTAATTTGGGGGGGGAATGAAACCATAAAAATATTTTGCAATCTATAAAAATATCCTTATACTCTTGGGGTGAAGAATTTCCTAAACATGGAAATTCCAGAAACCTAGAAACAATATTAACTTTAAAAAATAATAGTTAACAGAATTTACTAAAATGTTTTAAGAAAAATATTATAATAAAAAAGTCAGAGACTGATAAAAAAACACTTGAAGCACATAAAGGCCAATGGTTACCCATCCTTAATGCACCAAGAATTCTCACAAATCAAAACTCAGACCACACAAGGAAGGAGGACATAATTCTGACAATCAATTCTGCAAAAAATACAAATGGAAAACATCACAATGCTCCACCTCGTTAATAAAGAAGTAGGAAATAAAGGGAGGCGACTGCACGTGTCGCAGGCCAGCGGACGCCGCACAGCCAGCACGCGAGGGGCCGCCCCACAGCGGGGAGCGAAGCGACCGCGGCCTCCAGGGTGCAGCCTGGCGCCCCCCCCCGCAGTCTGTGTGCGCCACCGAGGGCCCCGCCCCGCCCTAGGGGTCTGTTCAAGAAAGCGTCCGAGTGTCCATCGACGGACGTTATAATATTATTTATAACATAAAAACTGCAAGCACTGCGAACGCCCCCTACGGGGACTCGAACAAAGTCTGGCATGGCCACTCCTCGCAGGCAGCCAGGAGAAAATGAGGAAATCCGCAGGTCCTGAAAGCACATGTCTTGAGAGAAGATGAACATGCGTACAGCAGGCACACATACAAGCACCTGCGCACAGGCCCGCATGCAGACACAGCCTACCCCTGCCTGCCTCTGCAGACACTAAGGGGAACGCCCTCGGCCAAGCAGGCCGCGCGGTGTCCGGGGAGGACGTCTGTGCTCACCAGTGGACCACCAGCACCGCGCCTGGCCCACCAGACACACGCAGTGAGCGCGTGGGGAGTCAGCAAGGGAGGGCGGGACCACCAGCGTGTGAGTGCCCCCGACCAAAGACAGGGAGCGCGGGCTCAGGGGACCAAGGATGCCACCCGGGCGGACCCTGGGGAGAGACGCTCAGCCTCACAGAGCTGAGTCCTCCCCTGAAGGGCCCCCAAGCGCTGCCCCCTGCACCCTGACCCCTCCCTCACCTCCCCCTGGGCCCCCAAACGCCGAGGCCTGCTGGGGCCTCTCCACCTGCCCGGGCCTGTCCCCTGCAAGAGCCAATTTCCCTCCCCGACCTCACAGCACCGGAGGCCCGCCCGCCCCTCAGGCTCCTCGAGGGACAGCGGCCTCTGGGGGCCCAGGTCCCGACCAGATCCGCCCGCTCCCGCAGGAAGCTGTGCAGAGGCGACTTCCCCAGCCGGCACTCCCGAGCGCTCTCTCCAGCAGCACCCCCTGAGGCGCAGTTTTGCCCCAAGAAGGGCGAGCAGCCACGCAGGAAGCAAAGCCGCTCGTGCCAGACGGGGAGGGCGACGGGGCTGTGGCCGCAGGAGGGGAGAAGCTGGCGAGCAGGAGGGCGGGTGCTGGGGGCTTCGGGCAGTCTCTGGGGAGGGCACCTCGGAAAGGAGAGCTCAGGGGGAGTCAGGCCCACGGAGTGTAGGGACCCGGAGCTCCGGGCAGAGCCAGCGTGTCCGCTCCGGAGGCGAGGCGGGACCGGAGCTCCCTGACGTTGCTCCCGAGAGATGGGACAGAGCGGCCCGCGACAGGGGCACACGAGCCTTTCCGGCTCCGGAGCGAAAGGGAGCTGCGACCCAGGACGGGAGCTGCAGCGTCTGCACGCGGAGGAGTCCTCGGGGAGAAACTGGACTGAAGGTTTGGGGAGGGCGCGCAAGGGCGGGCCCGGCGCTGGAGGCTGAGTAACCAATGGTCCCGGCCCAACTAACAGCCGCTGTCGGACCGCGGGGGTCCCCGGCAAATGAGCCCCGCCTCCTGTCACCCCCCAGACCCCCTCGTCTCCCACAAACCGGTCCCTGGTGCCGACAAGGCTGGGGTCGCTGCTGTGCAGGTTCAACAGCACACGACCTTGCCGGCGACAGCTTTTTAGAAGCCTGTAAAATTACGTGGCACGACTGCAATTACTACCAAAAATTTGCCTGGATACAAGTGGCCACAAGGAAATTCACTGTGCTGGTCTTTGGGGGTAGAGAATGACTTCCAGGTGTTTTTAAATAATTCCATTCACTTCACTTTTTATTGCTTTGAGACGGAGAAACACCGATTTGTGGGTTCCCCTTATCGGCGCGCTCGCTGGCGGCTTCCTGACTGTGCCCCGACCAAGGCCACCTTACTTTTTCTTTTATTTTTTCTCTAGAGCTTTGAAACATAGGTTTCGGTTTTGTCCAACCGTTCAGAGAGCACGTTTATTGCGTGGGTTCCCCCCGAAGGTTGCCAAGGCCGTTTCGTCTGCGCCCCTAACACCTCCGCAGAAAGTGCCGTGGAGAGCCGAGCTCCGCTCTCTCGCCAGGGTCGGCAGGCTTCGCGGCCCGCGGGGCTGTTTCCGCGACCGACCAGGGCACCGCCGGGCAGAGCCGGGCGGAAGGCTCGGCCGCTGGCGGGGAGCGGGGAGCGGGGAGCGGGGGCGGGGCGGGGGCCGGGGCCGCGCCGCAGGTGTCCCGCGTTGACAGGTGTCAAAGCTCTCTGCACCTGTTTCCGCGCCGGAGGCGGCGGGCCGCCCCGCGCGAAGCGCCCGCGCCGGCGGCCTCCCGCCGCCCGGCTGAAGCGCTCGGGCGCCGGAACCCGAGAGCCGGATCGAAATAAAGCGCCGGACAGGCAGCTGACTTCAGTCTCGCCGCGCGAAGGCTCCGCAAAGCACCCCGCGGACCGCACGGCCCGGCCCGGCCCGCGCTCCCGGCCCGGCGGCCGCGTCGCCGCGCCGCGCCCACCCGTCACCGCGACGCACGCCCCGAGGGGCTCCACGGAGACCGCGGGTCGCACGCCCCCGCCCGCCACCCCGAGCCGGGCCCGCGCACAGGCCCGCCCACAGACGCGCCGGCCGCGGCCTGCTCTCGGCGCGACGCCCGGGGAAGGCGGCCGCGGCGGGCCCCTCGGCGCTGGGCCCCAGCGCAGGCCCTCCGGAAGACCCCCGCCCGCGCCCCGCGCCGCCACCTACCCGGGGCCTGGGTCGCGCTCCCGCCACGGCGGGCTGTGGTCGGGAGCCGGGAGCCGGCGGCTGAGGCGGAGGCGGCGCCGCTCCGCTCGGCTCGGCGCGTCCGGGACCGCGGGCGGAAAAAGCGGCGGCGCGCCTGCTACGGCGAGCCGGAAGGGACGCGCGCCCGCGCCGCAGCTGCGCGGTGGCGGCCGGCGTGACGTCAGCGAGTGGGCGGTGCCGAGACGGCCGGGCGCGCTAGAGAGGCCCCGCGAGGACGCGGACCGACGGGCCGGCGGCGGACCGGGGCGCCGGGCGGGCGGGGCAGAGCCCAGCAGTCCAGTCGAGATCGGAGGGAGACAGCGCGCTCCGCCGAGGGTGTGCGGTCGGTGGGGTGAGCATCCCGAGGCAGGAGGAGGAAGGGGGACGGAGTAAGGGAGTCACCGCTCAAAGCCACTGGGCTTCGCAACAACTGGTGGTGAGAAAGGGGGCGCCCACCTGCGAAAGAGGGATGCGAGAGAGACCTCGACCTCGCTCCGCTTGCACAAGTGAGCTCGACCGGATCGCAGGCCCGCGTGCACGTGCTGAAACTAGGAAACGCAGAGGTCAAGCCTCACCACCTCGGTTCCTTAGAAGTTACACCAAGAGCGTAAGTAACAAGAAATGGATACATTGAACATCATCAAAATTAAAAACTTGTGTGCTTCCACTCAACACCATTGAGAAACGACAACCCACAGAAGGAGAAAGTATTTGCAAATCATGTACCGGATAAGGCACTTGTATCCAGAATGAAGAATTTACAACTCAGTAAAATAGACAAATTATTTTTAACGGGCAAAGAACTTGCAGAGATGCCTCTTTAAAAATGTCTAATAAGGACATGAAAAGATGTTCAACATCCTCAGGATCCAGGGAAATGCAAACAGAACCACAATGAGATACCACGTCATCCACTGGGTTGGCTAGAATCAAAAGGTCAGACAATAACAAGTGTGGGCAAGGACATGTGGAGAAGCCGGGCCCTCCCACACTGCTGGGGGGTGTGGGAGATGACGCTGTTGGGCAGTTCCTCACAATGTTAGAGTTAACAGGAATTCCACTCCTAAGTGTATACCCAAGAGAATTAAAAACATGAACACAACAATCTTAGCAGCATTATTCATAATGGACAAGAAATGGAAGTAACCCCAATATCCATCAACTGATGAATTAAGGAAATGTGGCATATCCATATATTTAGCCAAGAAAAGGGGGTGAAATGTCAACATGCTGAACATAGACAAACTCTGAAACATGCTCTGTGAAAGAAGCCAGAGAGGCTACATATCGTATGATTCTAATGTACAGAATGGGCAAATCTAGAGTTGGAAAGATGAGTGGCTACATTTCTGAGGATTGGGAAGAGAGGATGGGGTCTACCATTTATTAAAAAAGAAAGAAATGCAGGCTAAAGCAATCAACTCCTCAGCAAAATCCAGGTACAAATGCCCTGATACTAAACATGCTGAAAAATTTTAGAAGAAAACTTGCTATGAAAGGGAGACAAAGGGGCAGTAGGAAGGGGATGAAATTCTTGGACAACGAAAGGGAGTGATTTCACGTCTGTGAGGGCTGACGCCGCAGTGGAGGCGTTGAAGGTTAAGGAAAAAGGGGAGGGGGGAGTGGCGGGGGGCACTGAGGGCGTTGGCGTCAGACAGGAGGGGGCTTCTGCTGCAACATCAGGCAGCAGGAGAGGAGAGTGCGCAGGCGTGGAGCAGGATTCGGGATGCCTGGAGTTCCACGCCATGGCTTCTATTTGCTCCTGAAGGGGAATCACGGTCCACCTGCGGAGAAGGCGGGGGGACGGGGGGGGGGGGCACCAGTGCGGAGAGAGGACGTGATTTGAAATAGGGAGAATGCACAAGCTGGGGAAGTCTTTCGAAGGTATCTCCCCAGCCCCACTGTGCTTGTGTGCACACACGCAGATGTGCACATGCTGTATCACATGCATGCACCATCACGTGCATCCTCTGTACCTGTGCACGCTTTACATGTGTACACACATGGGTATGCCCACATCACATGCGTGCATGCACACATATACCTGTGCACACACCATCTCCCCACCTGAAATCCTCTCGTAGCTTCTTCAACAGACTTGCCGATGACCCACCCACCCAATCCCCTCTTTGCTAACAGGTCACTTTGTTCTGGGTCGGCACTGGGCACCGCTTCATAAAAAGCATTTTCCAGCCTCCCCTGCAGCTCGACATGATGATGCCCCTGGCCAGCGAGGGAAGGAAGCTGCCGGCGGGTCTCCCGGGAGAGCTCACTAAGGGACACACTCAACGGTGTATCCCCTCCTGCCTGGGCCATGGGCCGCAGCGGGTGGGTGGGGCCAGGATGAAGGCCAGGAGCTGAAGAGCCAGCTGGGCAGAGATGGCCCCCTCCAGCCCGGGGACCACTGTGCTGGCCCCGCGGCCCCGCCCTTGTCTGCGCCGCCCCGAGGGCCTGGAGACAAGGGCTGGGAAGAGCCCCGGCCACACACGGCGCGCTGGGCCCAACCCCCGAGCCGCGGGGAGGCGTCCCATCCACACCCCCTGGGTCACCTGCCCCAACACCGCACACACGGTGCTCCTTTCAGCTCTCGGGGAAAGGACAAAGACCCGGGACAGGCAGACGGAGCGACTAAGCAAAGTCTGTATTCATTTAATAAGAAAATCATCTCTTTAAAAAAAATAGTGTCTTCACACCACGAATATGTGTAAAGAGTTCATGCTGGGCTGCAACACCCATGGCACGACGTGGGTCTCAAGGTCCTGAGGTTTCAAGGCCACACCTTGGCCCCCCTCTCGGCGAGCGGTGTGGCCGGCAGCAGCTCCTGCACAGGCATCTCCACGGGGGTCCCGCCTCAGTCGCTGTCTCCGTCCCCTTCACTGCCTTCCTGGGGGCTGGGGACCTGCAGAGCCAGAGCAGAGAGACGGCTGTGAGGGGGTGGGCTGTGCGGGCGTGGGCGCCCCCCTTGTGAAGGGGGGCTGTCCACGGCCCCCGAGCCGCCCTCCAACCTGCCCCTTCGGGAGCGACGCCGGCATTGGTGCTCTGCCTGCCTCGTCTTCCTCACAACTGACTCAAGAACCTGAACAGCAGGAGCTGGGGCAAGGGGGGGCTCTTCACAGGGCTCCTCCAAATCCCCAGAGGATGCTGTGACCTCAGGGCACACACAGCTGGGCTCCCCCAAACTGGACGGCGCAGGCCCCTCAGCAGTGTGAAGGCAGCAAGTGGCCTGTGGCCTGTCAGTGAGACCCGCGCAGCAGGCGCAGGCTCCACCTGGCCTCGCGGCGGCGCCAAGAGAAACGAGTAACCACCAACACTCAACGAGTGGGGAGTTCGTGTCGGAGTCTGGAACACCAGTTTCTCCTGGAGAAACGTAAGCGCTCCAACATGGCCGCCGCTGGCAGTCACCCCTGCGGGCGAGCAGGAGCGCCTGTCTGCCACGCTCTCCTGCGGTTCCCGTGGGCGCCCCGGCCTCGGCCGACGTCCATCAGCTCGCCTGCCTGCTCCGCCGGCGCACCTACCTGCACGGGCAGGGGCTACAGCTCCGGGTGTGGAGGACGACAGAGTCTACCCTGACACCTCGACCACGGGAAGGTATCCCGAGTGCCAGGTTGGCGTGTCACCCTCCAAGCACCCACCGCGCCAGCACCAGTGACAGCGCTAACTGACCGGCACTGTCGGCCCAAGGACGTCCTACCGTCACCTCCACATCACACGTGGAAACGCCGCAGAGGGGGGCCCCCGCCCTGGGGCAGTAAGTGTGGACTGAGCACTAGGCAGTGGGGTCACCAGGCACTGAGCCTGCCACCCCAGCCTGCTCCTCCCCTGCTGTGTGACCTGGGGGAGCAGGGCGCCTCTCTGTGCCTCGGCTTGCTCGTGTGCGGGATGCGCGCCGTGACACCAGCACAGAGCGGGTCAGCAGCTCAGCCACAGGCAACAGACAGGGACGAGAATGAGCCCAGCTCCTGGGAGGGGTCCCGTGGCCGCAGCCCCCAGCCCCACCTTGGCACAGGGGCTGGATGCCGCATGGGCAGTGGCGCTGAAGTCGTGCGCGGGCAGGGTGCTCAGCCACTGGGCCATGGACCTCTCCTGGCGCTCGGTGCTGATGATCGTGGGGTAGATGTGCTGCTCCTTGAAGGCCGCGGCCGCTGCCGCCTCCCGCGCCCAGTCCAGCGGCTCGTGCAGCCCGTCGCGGCCGAAGCGCCGGTTGTACGTCTCGAAGTGCACGCGCTCCAGGACGAGGCCGAGTCCTGGCGCCTTGGGCACATCCATCTTGGCCTCGCCCCAGCTGCGCTCCAGCGCGTCCTCGGGTGCGTAGCCCTTGACGATGGCCACCACCAGGCCCACCATCTTCCGGATCTGGTGTGTCATGAAACTCTGCCCCTTCACCTTGATGACCGCGAACTCCATGCCGTCCCGCTCGAAGGGCTCCTCGCAGAACATGTCCAGGACGTAGCGCTGGGCACTGGGCTCCCGGGGCCCCTTCTGCGAGGTGAAGTTGTGGAAGTTGTGGGTGCCCCTGTAGCAGGCCAGCAACCGGTTCACCTGCTGCAGCGTCTCGGGGCTGAGCCGGTACATCTCGTCCTGCACGTCGTGGTCCTTGTGTGCGAAGGCAAACGTGGGCAGCATGTAGACGTAGGTCCTGGCGTCGCACCTGTTCTTGGAGTTAAAGCCTCCCGTGACACGCTTCAGTCCTGGGGGACGAGGACAAAGGCTTCAGGCGCGCCCGGGGCCTGGTGCCTCGGCCCACGCGGGGACAGGTCCTGGCAGCGCGCCCCACACTCCACACCTGAGGGGATGCAACCTGTGTCTACCAGACCCACGGCTGGCGAGGGGCCAGGCTCGCCCTGTGCCGACCCTGCCCGAGGGCCAGGGCTCTGCTGGGGGGACCGCCCGCAGCGCGGACAGCAGCGTGACCCCCGCTGGAGCCCACAGGAGCACTCACTCTGCAGGTGGGGCCGCGGAGGCAGCACTGTGTGGAACAGCAAAGGAAAAAAAGCAAAAAAGGCAGAACAGCCTAAAAAGCCCAGAACATTCACAGCATGACCAGAGAGGCAGCCCTTGAAGGCCAGGGTGCAGGTCTGAGGCGCGGCCCCCGGAGGCGCCCAGGGCCCTTCGCACACGAGGGCCCAGCGGGGGCTCCACACGGGTCTGACTATTAGTGAAAAACAGAAGACGGGACATGAAGTGGCCGCGCAGGGGGTCCGTCTGTGAGACACACAGAAACGTGAGCACGTGGCTGCCACGGCGTAGAAACCTCCTGGAAGAACAGCCACGAGGGTCAGTGGGGGCCATTTCCAGGAGCTGGGGACCAGGAAGCACTGTCCCTGGACACTGTCACGCGGGTTTCCCACGCAGGGACATGCAGTCAGGGCTGCGGACAGAGGTGCTCTGGGTGATGCGGGCTGAGCCTCACAGCAGCAGGGCCCTGACCCTCCGGTTCCCCGGGGGCGGGCGGGGACCCGCGCCCCTCTGCCGTGGCCCACCTGCTGGAGGCACGCCCCCGCCCACCCTCAAGGCAGCGCGACCCTGGCAGTGGCTGCCCTGTGCTCCCTGTTCTAGTGTCTCCAGTGTCATGTTGGATTTAGGGGTAATTTTAGTGTTATTTTTGTCCTGTGTTAAAAATTACATCCCATCTACTCTGAGCATCGTAAGTGTGCTGTGTGCATGCAAACTTTGCGGCACGCAACCCAGCCACTCGGCAAAGGCTGGACGTGCTGGCAGCCACGTCACCCAGCCACTCACGGGCGGATGGCTGCCTGTGCTGCCCCAGAAGTGGTGGTCGCTCCTGAAACATTTGCATGTGGGACGGGCATGGTTTTAGCCAAACAGGGGAGTTATCTGTGGAGGACACCAAAGTATCTGCCGTGGAAATGAAAGGAGAGAGGCATCCGATGGGACTTAACAGGATTGACTCTCAGAGAACATCCCCATGGGGCAGAAAAAGACCGCGGGACAAAAACACTGCATTATACTAGATATCAACAGTGAGCAAAGTAGCCAAGAAGCAGGGTTACTGACTTTGCATTAGGAATCTTACAACCTACACCCAAATGTTCACAGCAGCTTCCCAGAAGCAGCCAGACAAAAAGGAGGACCTACTATATGATTCTGTTTATATAAAACTGTAAAAATACAAACTAACCTCGTGCGAAAAGCAGATAGGGGCAGCGGGTGAGAAAAGGCGACAGAGGTTTGCTCGCTCAGCCGGGGTGGCCTCGCCGGTGGGCGCGCGCACCGGCTCCTAACCTGTGCACTTCACATGTGGCTTATCTTATGGGAATTCTACTTAAACTTTAAAAAGCACCTTTAAAAATTTTAAGTGGCTGCTTAAAAAAAATAGTAACAATGTAGCGTGGAGTCTGTAACACACAAATATAAAACACTGGTCCACAACAGCACCACACTGAGGGCAGAGGTGCGGCTATACCATTGTAGTTTTTAGACTCTACACAAAGTGGTATCATTTTGCTTGAAGATGGTGGTAAAGTAGAGGTGGGTGCTTGAACCAGGGACTGGCAAACAGTGGCCAAACCACAGCCATTTTTGTTCAGTCCGTGAGCTGGGACTGAAATTGGGGGTTAAAAAGAAATAGAGTAATATACAATAGACACCATAAGCTAAGTGGCCACAAAGCCCAAAATATTTTACTACCTGGCCCTCTACAAGTTTGCCAACCCTTGCTTTATATCCCAAAGTAATCACTGAAAATCCACAGCAAGTTACAGCTAACAAGGCAACCAGGTTGCTAATAAATCGAACTACAAAAAATCAATTAATTTAAGCAGAAAAAGGGGGACAAAGAACAGATGGGACAAAGAGAGACAGATGGCAGCCATGCCAATACCACACTAAACGTAAATGTCACATTAAAAAGGCAGAAAGCCAGCTAGATTTTTTTTTTACAACGAGACCAAAGAAGTCCTATTCCCCAGGCCTGTTGGAAGAGGAAATAACTGCCCGTGTTTTAACGTCACCAAAGCTGGACTCTCACATCCAGTCTGGAACGGGGCATGGCTTTGGCCAAACCGGGGAGTGACCTGGCACGTGTGGCCCCAAGGTGCTCCGGCCTCGGGACGTTCCCGGTCCGCCCGCTCGGAGGGAGGCGGGAGACCGCTCTCGGCCCCCAGCCCGCTGCTAGGCACCCGGCCCCCCGCCCGAGCCCCACCCCCGAGACGCCCGGTGAGAGAAGGAGTCCGAGGCCCTGCAGCCCCTGCTCCAGGTCTTACCCAGTATCCGGATGTGAGCCGGAAGGTGGCTGTTGATCTTTTCTAAAATGTCGTCAATCAGCCACACCTTCAGGGACACCACCTGCCCAGCTGCGGAAACACCCTGCAAAGGAAGCACAGGGTGGGGGGCCCACTGAGGCCTGCATGTCCAGTGCCACGAGGCCTTTTGCACAGAAGGAGTGCACAGAGCTCACACCTTCTCCCCGGAGCAGTTCCGCTGTTAGAAATGCATCTGAAGGGAATAACCAGGTCCAAGGACAACGCTCTATGGACCGAGGGCACGAGCGCAGCCTAACATACAGCATGGCCACTCACACGCCCAGCAAAACACACACTAGGGAACAACCGTGTGATCATGCAGATGGGAGGTCAAGTCCCACCTCAGATGTGACTTTCAGCAACTTGGGAAAATAAAACTGCCACCCAGGTGACACAAGTGTGAGGCAGAAGGGGGGACCTGTGGGCCCTTGAAACCAGACGATGTGCAGGTCCCAGGACCCAACCTGCAAAGAGCCCCGTCCGTGAGGCGGGCGCCCCTGACCTGGGGCGGGAGGCGCACTTCAGCCAGCGCCCCCGAGGACCAGGCTGAGCGCGCAGCACCTCCTGCTTCCGCGAGGCCTTCGGTCTCCGGCCCTGCCGTCCAGCCGGCCCGCACCCGGACCCAGCCCCGGCGACCCTCCGCTCTCCTGGGCGGGGCCCTTGCCTATGCCAGGCCCACACCTGGGAACGTGATGGCTGCACGCTGGCCGGTGACCGAGCCCAGAACAGACGTGTGAGGCAGTGGGACTCGATCTCATGACTCCGCATGGACGGTGCGGGGCCACAGCCACTGCGGCGCCTGAGCCCACGAGAGGCAGCTCGGGGGCGAGGGGCCGCCGGTGGGGCAGACCCTGCGCAGAGTCAGCAGTCATGCTCAGAGTGGAACACACGCCCCGGTGACCTTTGAAACAGGGGTGTTATGAAAGCCAATTTCACCTGTTTCCTTTTCCCTTTCGACTGCGGCAAGTAGGAATTTGTGAGGCAGCACAGCTTGTCTTCACGGCCACACAGCCCTGCGCGTGCCACCGAGCCTGAGACAGATGACCTACGGCAGGAGGTGGCGTGGCCACCACGCCCCCCGCAGCGGTGACAGAGGACAGAGAGGACGCAGCCCTGCCGGCGGTGAGCGCCCAGACCCAGCCGCCGCAGCGTGACAGCTCCTGCTCGCCTCAGCCACACCAGCAGCAGCTTCGTTCCATTGAGACGCGTTTCATCTGCGCATCTGTCACTTGTAGCCACGGGTGCTGACAACAGGGACGCCGAGGGGGGGCGAGGGCCTACCTTGTCTGTGCGGGCACACCGCTGGAAGGACATCTTCCTCATGTCCTCGCCATGGTTCTCAGGGATACAGCCCGAGCGGACCAGGGCAGACACCAGGTCGTCTTCGATGGTCTTAAATTGGGAGGACCCGACATTCCTCTGAGGAAAAGAGAAGAAAACATGGTTTTTCACTTGGTCGCCATCCACAAGGGCCTGGGCTGCTCCCAGCAGGGGCAGGCACGCTGTCCCGGTCGACGAGTGGTCGTGAACTTGGTTTCAGGAGGGCAACAGATGCTTTTTAAAAAATAAAATAGGACACAAAGTAACTTACTATTACTACCGTTCATAGTAAAAGTTGTAACATCTTTTTCTAAACTTCCCTTCACTTAGATACTCAGTCCCTAGAGTGAATTTCTCATGGCGAGTCAGGCTTAGAGACTTGCCCCAATCAAGCTGGCGGGCTGGGGAGCGAGGATTCCAAAAGGGGCCTGCTGCCCACAGCCTGTCGCCAAGACACGTCTGAAGGCTGCCGACAGCTGACTCCTCTGACGCTTGGGCACTGCCCTGGGTCTCAGCTCACAGCCCCAGGAAGCCCAGCGCACCTCCCTGCTCCCGAAGGCCAGTGCTGCGACCACCCCATTCCAAAGACGAGGAACCTGAGGCATGGAGAGCTCCAATCACATGCCAAGGTATGAGGCTGGTCGGCGGCAGGGCTGGGCCTTTCAACAGCGGGGGAGACAGGTGCAAGCCCCCGCGCCGGCCAAAGCGCTTGGATTAGAACCTCTGTCCTGCTTGTCGGGGCCGCACGACACGGTGGAGGAGATTTTCTGCCCTTCCCCGAGGCAGCCTCGCTCGAGGCCCACCCGGAACCACAGCGCGGTCCCGGCCCGGAGCCGCTCACCTGCATGCCGTGGTAGCCTTTCCCGGAATAGGCCAGGAGCATCACGATCTTGCGCTTGGGCAGCTTCTTGGGCGGCTCCCCGTCCGCGCCGCTCTTGAGCTTTTTCGCCGGCTGCTCGGTGTCCTCCCAGGCCCTGCCTCCGCCCTGCCAGCCGCTCCGGGCCTTCCTGTCCTGCTCCTGCCCGGTCCCCACGGGTGCCGGGGCCTCCGCCTTCCCGGCCATGGGGGGCCAACTGGAAAGACACAGGGGCGCTGTGAGCGAGACGGCGGGGTCCCCGCACCGGCGGGTCTCGGCGCCCCTGACAGCAGGTGGGGCAGACGCGGGCATTACCCGAGGAGGCGCCGTCCCAGGAGCGGCGTCCACGCCCCGCAGGCTCTCCGCAAGGCCCCGGCCGCCGCCCGCAGGCTGGCGAGCCCCATGCACGGCCCGGGTGAGGGACGCGCGCGCGACTCCTGACCTCCCCGAGGCCCTGCGCCGCCCGCGGCGAGCCTCCGACGTCCGCTGACCCCAGGCTGACCTCTGGCCTCCCCAGTCCACCCTTGTCCTCCAGCCCCGCCCGCCGGCTTCCCCTCGGAAATCGGGGAAACCTGGCCACCCCCGCCCCGCGGGGACCAGAGTGGCGCGTCCCCACCCGGCCCCACTCACGGCGCCGCAGACTGAACCCCAGCCGGACCACGTGAGCGAAGGCGGAAGTGCAGCGCGAGGCCGGACGGCGGCCGGGACGGACAAAAGTCCTCCGGGGCGGGGCTTTCGGGTCGGGACGAGGCGGGGGCGGGGCTTGGCGGCCGCGGAGACCTGGGCGTGGTTTAAGGCGTGCTGGGGCGGGGCTTCCCCGCCACCGACTCCGGGAGGCTGTGAATGCGGCTGCGCACGACTCCTTGGAGCGAACCAGTCGTCTGAAAGGCGACAGTTACTGGGCTCTGCTCGGGTTCCGCGTGTTAACGCGTGCGTCTCTAGGGAGACGGGTAATGACAACACGGATCAGTCACGGAGTACTGCGTTAAAAGGAAAAAAATGCCACGTGAAAGGCGAATCAGTAGCACTGACCCCGCCCCCCCCCCCGCCCCGCCGCGCCGCAACACGGACAAATGTGATGCCCCGTGAAAGAGGTTAGATGCAAAGGCCACGTGGTGTGTGATGCCAAGGTGTGAAGTGTCTAGAGCCGGCAAATCAGGGGCCGACGCGGCTCCTCTAGCTCGCAAGTCAGGCCAGGTGGAAAGAGCTCGCGTGCCAAACGGCCCCCGCCCCGCCCGTCCCTTCCTGCGGAAGGGAAGGAAGAGCTGCCTTCCCGGTTCCAGGGGGTGAGGACAGCCGAGGTCTCCTGCGACCTGACCTGGCGAGCCCCAGGGGCCGAGCAGCACTAGGAAGCATCCAGCCACGCTTACACAGAGCCGCCGCCTGCCCCCGCTTCAACCCTCCGATCTACGGAGGGTAGACTGAGGCCTGCAGTGGGGACGGGTACCCAGGGGGACGCGGTTGGAGGCAGGGTGGGTGCCCAAGCCCGGGAGCCCTCATGGGCCGGGACAGCTATGAATGTGCAAAGAGGACTTCGAGATTGTCCTGCATGGTCACTGCACCCGCAGGCCAGCACTCCTGGGCCCACTTGTCACAGCCAGGCGACCGCACAGGGACGTCACAGCAGCTTCATTCGTAATTGCTGAAACTTGGAAGCACCACGGTGTCCCTCAGTGGGCGCATGGAAAGCCAGTGGTTGGACTGTGGGACCCTACCCAGCGTTATTAACCCTCAAACAGACGAACAAAAGCTATCAAGCCATGAAGAAATGGGGAATATTACTTAGTGAAAGAAGCCAATCTGAAAAGGCTACCTACTGCAGGATTTCAGCTGTACGACCTTCTAGAAAAAGTACAACTATGGAGACAGTAAAATGCAGGCTGGGGGAGGGGGACGAACAGGCCGAGCACAGGGCTCTTCAGGGCACTGACACTGCTCTGTAGGACCCATAACGACAGGCGCAGGGCGTCACGCATTTGCTCAAGCCCCCAGCGTGTGCGTGGCAGCCCTGGGTGGCAGCGGTTGTCGGTGTTGCTCACCAAACGCGACAGCTGTACCCCAGCCAAGCGCCGTGTAAATGGAGGGTGCACGGAAGGACGGGGAAGAGGGAGTGTGTGGGAGCTGGACTGGCCGCCCAACTTTTCTGTAATAATAAGGGTTTGTTAACTAAGCAACAGCAAAGGGCCATGCTTGTTTCTGCGCGCTGTGAGCATGGCATTGCAACACAGCAGGAGCGCCCCCTCCAGGAGCTGAGGGCGGCACTGGCCGCAGCCTCCGCGGGCGCGGCCCCTCCTCTCAGGCAAGTGCGGCTCTTGAGGAAGCCAGCCCGGCAGGGCCCCGCCCTCGCTTCCTCAGCTGCTACCGGTCCCTGAACTTTCGTTGCACATTGCGGTTAGCCTTTTTGGTAATTTAATGAGTTATTTTTAACTTACAAAAACATGTAGTTGAAAAAAATGCAAACCCTGCAACTCGACGCGAGCGATGCCACCCAATTCAGAAATGGCCAAAGGACTCGAATAGACATTTCTCCGACAACTTAGATTTCGAAATGGCCATCGAGCCCATGAAGAGGGGCTGGAGGCCACCCCTCCTCCTGTGCACGCGAACCTGCACCACGCGCCACGCGGGATGAAGACACAGAGGCTCGCCCGCACCTGGACGTGGGGGAACCAGGCAGGATCGGAATCGGCGTGGCTGCCATGCCATCAGGCACTGGTCCCTTGACCTTGTGGAAGGGGTCACCCTACAACCCGCATCCCCTCCTAGGTGAACCCCTGGAGAACCCAGAGAGGGCGGGGTCCCCCAGGGCCCAGGTGAGCAGACCCTGCTGAGACAGGCCCAGGGGACACAGTCACGAAGCCCCAGCTGTGCCCCGGGGGTTGGTTCCCGCACTGAGCCCAGCCTGCGTGCAGAGTGAACCCCGGTGCGGCTGCAGGACTGTGGGACGCGGGACACGAGACGTGGGGAGGGCTGGGCGGGGCTGGGAAAGCAGGTGGCAGGCCCGAGACAGCAACAAACACCAGCTCAACAATTCCAACAGTTTATTTCCTTAAATGGATATTACACAATTGAACACAACTGGCATGGGTGGGGGACCACACAAAATTCCTTTTGAAATAGATTGAGAATCAAGAGCTCTCTCGTGGAGAGCAGGGTTGGCTGGCGGCAAACGGGACACACTTGGTGCCACCAATGAGGGACTGGGAGGGAGGCCCCTCCCGTGGAGCCAGCCTCCTGGCAGCCCTGGAGTCCAGCCGACCATAAAGCAATAAATAGAAACATGTCCTGCGCAGCAAGAAACAATTAACGTCACTGGTGATGAGGAAATGAAGTCACTGGGCTGCTCCTAGGTCCAAGCACAGGGTGATATTCAAGTATTGCAAAGAAACACACAAAGGTCTCTGACCTCATCTGTGGTGCAGACCTTAAACCCCTGGCCAGGCGCCTGGGCTCGCCAGGCGACCTCTGCACTCCCAGGGCGGGGCCTCGGGTGGGGGTGGGGGAGCGGGGCAGAGCAGGGCAGGCCGGAGAAGCCCCCTGGAGCCAGGGAGTTGGGCCTCCCTGAGCCCTCGGACCCCTCTGATGGGGCCCAGGACCTGGTGGGGGGAAAGTGAGGAGGGATTTGACATCAAAACCTACTAGGAAGGTGGCGGAGGTTTTTGCACAAAGCACGCCCCCTCACCTGCCTGCCGCCTGCACGGCAGGGGCCTCCCGACCCCGACAGGGAGGGGCAGCAGGACAGCCAGCTCCGCAGGTGCACCCGCCTGCCACGGGCCCCCGCCCTTCCGGAACAGAACGTCCTAACTACACACCTACGAGTTTTCTTCTTTGAACAAAAAAGAGCTGCAGAAAAATAAGACACATTTTATGAGTAAAGTATGAAAGACGGCCACATCTGCTCCTGGTTTAGAAAGCTCGGCACGTCATACTGTGTGTCCCCAAAAGAACATTTAGATAAGACGCTGTGTCTCCCGAGGGCTGGGCAGCAGGCACAGCGGGCCAGTTCTGCATGTGTATACGTGTGTGGTCCGTACACATGCCTCTGGTACGGCAGCCAGGCCTGGGCGGGCGGTCCCGGCACCGGTCTGCCTGCGTAAAGTGCTCGGTGACTCACGAAGCTGGGTGGTGGTCTCGGGCAGGAAGGGGGCCAGGAGCCCGCGCCGTTTCCTGGGCGGGCCCCAGGCCGGTCTGGAGGCTTTGGCTTGAGCGGGCCCCTGCTCGGACGGCCGGGGGGCCGGGGCGGGGGAAGATCACACGTCCCCACCTGCCCTGGAGGCAGCCGGGGGACAGGCCTGGATCCGGGTTCCGTGCGGGCCCCCCAGTGCCAGCCAGAGCCCAGGAAGCAGCCATGGCTGGCGGCCTGGCTCTAGACGCAGGGCAGGGAGGCTCCTTCCCCAGCATGGGGAGCAGTCCGTGGCGGCCCCCCACAGCGTCCGTGGAGAAGGTCCGGCTGCTGGGGCACAGCAGGTGGGCTCCCAAGAGGTCGGGCACAGGTGCCGGTCAGCAGGGCCCGGTCAGCAGGGCTGAGAGTCTCCGCTCGATGCACAGCTTGCCTGCAGGGAGGAGGCCCAGTTAGAGCTGCCAAGTGCCACCGGCCCCGCCCCCCCCCCGGCAGGCGTGGGCACTCACACTTGGCGATGTTCTCCACGTCTGCCTGGTCCGTGAGCAGCCGCTGCAGCCCCTCCATGAGCAGCAGGGCCGAGTGGTAGCGCTGGGCGCAGTCCTCCCGGCGGTGGAACATCTCGTCCAGGGCGGCCGACTGCACCTGCTCGGCCAGCGGCACAGGAGCATCTGAGCAGCTGCCCGCGGGGGCCACAGGTCGCACAAGCAGCTACCCCAGCCCCAGAGCAGTCAGGGGTCACCCCCGGGGGAGGGTGGACTCTTCTAGAACCTCTGTCCTGTGTGCATTTTAACTATGCAAATCGATGATTTCAGAAACTGCCTCCGGGCTGCTCTCTTCGGGCAGAGGGACCCCAGAACCTCAGCAGCCCCAGAACACGAGCAGGCTGGGCCCCCAGGCCAGGCCCTTCTGGAAGCCTCATCCCCACCCGCCGGGGAAACTGCGTCTCAGGGATGAGGCGGCCGGGGATGTGCCTGGGCCGTGGAGCCTGCGGGGCCTGGAGGGGCCCCGGGCCGTCTGTCAGCGGGGGGCTGCGTCGTGTCGCATCCCACCCGGTGCCCAAAGCCCAGCCGCGCTGCATCCCCACCCCAGCCCTGGGCCCGGCCGCACCGTGTGCACAGCGTGGCTGAAGATGAGCTTCTCGGCGGTGACGCTCTGGATGCGGTCGAGGAGCCGCTGCTTGTCCAGGAAGAAGCGCTGCAGGCGCAGGCTCAGGCCTTGGCAGGACAGCACGCTGGCCTTGTACAGCTCGTTCAGCTTCCGCACCACTGCGGGGGGCGCCAGTGGGCTGAGGCCAGCCCCCCGTGTGCCCGACCCGCCGCTGCTCCCCCACGGGGCTCGCTGCCCTGAGG